GTGCGCTGGTACAGTTAAGATATAAGTATCTCGCACATAATAAAGAAATCTAATTCGTCGAATACCCGCTATGTATTTCCGTTAGGTTCATCTTTAGTTAGATTATAATTACCTTGACCAATTATAATGTGATGAATTGGACTCGAAGTTAGAGTTATGTGAAGTAATAATAATAAATCCTGCATCCTGCGCTATAAATCATTTGATGCCGTGTTAAATGCCTGCCATACATACGATAATACGTAGCGCCATCTTCGCAATGTAGAGAAATTACTTACAGTATATTAAATATAATTTACTTATTATTCTGTACTACTATAATAATACACTATAAAAATTTAACTAGAATAATTTTGTAAATATGTCTCGGTTTTAGGGAAATTTCATTTTGCTTAAATTTTTTAATAACATGAAAAATTATGATGTACTTGTAGCATTAACATGAGCTCAAAGCTTTTACGTGACTTGAATAGTTAAATTTGTTTATTTAAATTCAAAAGTACGTAATACTTTATAATTACATGTTTACGCATTGTTTTTAAAATTTAAATTTGGCGTTTTTTAAATATCAAAAAAACTCTTTATGCATTCTAAAATAATTTCAAATCATAATATTTCAAACTTAATGTTTCAATCGTCTTCCGGCGTCCGTATGGGGATAGACACATTCTATTTTAGTAAAGCTAGAATACCCTCTCTTTAGTCTCATCGCGTGCGCACGCGTTGTTATTATTTGTATTACAAAACTATGGTGTTTAGCTCACACGCACTTTCTTATGGAGAGTAATTTTAGGTCTGGCGCAAGCGTTGGGTAATATTAGGTATGTAGAACGTAATTATACCTTTGGGTACTTCTTTTGTTATTTTATATATTTAATTTAAATATTAAATATATATATATATATATATATATATATATATATATATATATATATATAACATCAATCTCTTCTATAATGACTGAATGATAGGAAATATAAATCATGACAGATATTATCTATCTTCAACTGTGGTTTCAATTGGCTAATTTTCAATCGGATATAACATCAATCAGTGAAGCACGCAGATTGCGGTTGATGCGAGGACGTGTAATTTACGCGTTGCAGCAAGCAGTTTGCCACTGTACGTGCGAAAACATAATTTATATAAGCGATACCATAGATAACTTCCATTAAATTCTAGTTTTCTTGTTATTTTAAAATTATTTCTAAAATGTATTTGGATAATATATAGTATAGATGAATATTTTATAGATTTTATTTGGGAGTTGCTAAATTAGAAAAGTTTACACGGATACTCTCTGACTTAATTGTCAAAATATTTTTTGTCAAATTATTTTCTTACTCTTACTAATAGGTATTATAATTAATGTGAAAGTTTAGATGTTTGGATGGATGTTTGTTACTCAATCACGCCAGAACGGCTGAACGGATCTGGATGGAATTTGGCACAGAGATAAATTATAGTATGGAATAGTACATAAGGTACTTTTTATTCCGGAAAAATGTACGGTTCCCGTGGGATAGATTTGATTTTTTTCTAGAGGAGAAAGTAAAGTGAAGGTGAGCTGCTAGTTTTTAATATACCTAATGTACAGTAGAATATTTGCCCCTAAGATATAATATAAGACAGGATTTTTCTAAACTCCCTCGCCTTCGCAACTATCGAGCCAACACTTGACATTTGAGATTATTGATCCACTAAGTTAGTTTCGAAATGTGAAGTCGGTTTAAGCTTTATAAAAAATTACAATTAACTACATAAACAAACTACTAAATTAGCTTGAATACATTTTAATTGTACTTATTTTAAAAGCATATAACGGCTGTTATAAATATAAATAAATAAAAAAATAATAGTGTTATATATATATATATATATATATATATATATATATATATATATATTTTATTGCAAAAAATACTAACAATTCTAACATGGTATTAAGTATAATTGTTACTAACCAATTAACAATATATGGATGTACCTACTTACGTCTGAAATAAAGATTATTATTATTATTATTATAAATAAAAGGTGCCTTCAAACATAGCTTATTATTACAGTTATATTTTCTTTTGGCAAATATTACATTCTGGAAACTTCATTATGTACGAATTGACATGTAATCTGGATTGAGGTATAAATATTCAATACCTACTCAGGCAGACTCATCGCCGTCTAATTTCCTCGTGCCGCCAGTGCGTGGGCATGCTATTAGGCTTTGAATGCATATACTATCCTGTACATCGTTGGTGAATTTGCCTGTATTTATTGTACCGACGCAGGGGGTACTCAATAGTACGCCTACGTGCTGTGCACTCTCTAAATCGAATATTGAATTTTATGAGTTAAATATATGTATGTATGTCAGTTGTTTTGTTGTTATGACGTTTCAAGATAATAAATTTTTTACAATTAATAAACAATTAAGGTACAATTGTACCTTAAGTAACTTCTTTTTACGTATACTTTTACAGACCGATATACACGTAAATTCTAAATTCGTTTAAAAATTAATTTATGATTTGTTTATTTAATTCGAATTTTATATTTAATTTTTCTAAATATATGCAATGTTATTCTATCTTAGTATCTTATTACACAAATCCTATATGAACTACTACTCACCTTTAGTTTTCCGGGGTCGCACAGATTGGCGTTTGGAAACTTAACAAATATGTCTATTAATTCCTTATTTATTACGCTACAGACTTATAAATAGTGTTAGTATATAGTGTCAGTGAAGGTGGCAGCGTACACGCGGGAGAAAAGCCGCAGTGCCGCTATATCGATTCCATCTCTTCGCTGATAATGTCGCTACTTTGCCTATGACATGGCAATTGTAAATTACTTACACACTGTTACATTTATATTGCTAGACTAATTTTACTGTCTTATATTCTACAGAAAGGATAACAGACTTTTTTTTGTATCTGTGCAATGTTGGTCTTCTGAGAGTATTAATTAAAAATATTTTTGCAAAGGTGAGATATTTTTTATTAATTATCACTAAAGTCGCATCTTTTGACACCGAGTTTTATATCAATAGGTTTCCAACAAATTTTGGCATAACAAAAATGACATGGGAACTGAACGAATGTAAGCCGAAGAGTGTAATAAAAATTATATTTCAATAACCCACCAGTATAATAGACTATACTAGTCTACACATAAATAAGGTAAAGCTGTCACAGTGCATAATATCGGCCAAGCGGAAACCGCAGTGCCGCGGTATTGATTCTGCTTTTACAGCTTGCGACATTTTTGTCGTCTGCTTCGCAATGGCGCACGTATTTGTATATTTTATACTAATATTTTTATTGACTATAATTTTATAAAGCACTTGTGTAATATAGGATTATACTAATACATACTGATATCAGAGGAAGTATTATTTAATATGTTCTGTAATTTGAAACAGATTCTAAACGTCCAATATTGCAAATGCACTCGTGCCTTCATTAAGCCGCGTTAATACAACTGTGTGTAGACGATTCTTATGATTGTATGCAGCCCTTTTTAACGGCCCACTGCTGGGCACGGGCCTCCCTTCAGTACGAGGGGAAACAGGCCATAGTCCACCACGCTGGCCAAGTGCGGGTTGGCGGACTTCACATGTCTTTTGAAAACTTGCTACGTTCTCTCAGACATGCAGGTTTCCTCACGATGTTTTCCTTCACCCTTAAGACAAGTGGTAATCATGTTGGAAACTATTCGCACATGATAATATCAGAGGTGCAAGACCCAGGATTTGAACTCGCTTCACTCGGTTTCCCAAGCGAGCGAGTTACCACTAGGCTACCACTGCCTTTCTTATGATTAAAGAAACATAAAAAGATATATTGGTATTTAAACGCATACACCATTTGCAGTGTAATGCCTGTTCTTAGATAGGTAGCTTCTATTAAATAGCGTCTAGAATCTAGATTTATAATCGAGTGTTTTCTGTTCACGGAGAGCTTATTAGTTGCACCCACACACGCACCGGTGTTCTCATAATGATGTTTCTGGAAAATTGCCTTTGAGACGCTTGCCTTTCAAATTATCTGCCATGATAAGTTTATATTTAAAGGGAATTATATTGTAGTGTATAGCTATATATAAAAAAATATGTGACTTTTGAGAGATTTATGAGACATTTTATATTTGAAAATAATATAGACTTCCATAATTATAAGTAGTAATTTTAATTATTATAAATACAAGTACGTGTTTGTCCTTAGTTAACTATATTCCCTATTTAAAAACTCCATATCTCATCTAAAGCCACATAGAAATCAATAAAAGCCATACAGAAACCAATAAATATTTATCCTCTTGGAGTTTTTCAATAGGGTTTTCGTACAGGGATAGTCGATGTTCCTAAATTGTCACTGGGTACTTTTTATCCCCCACGTGGGACAATATGTTGCTGTCACAAGGGATAAGATTAAGTTTACCGACTTTGTTTTGAATATTAACGTTTTAAAATATTCAATATAAGCGATCGTTATCATAATTTAATGCTGAATACATTTATATTTCATAATACTTGAACCTTAAATAAATAAAAATCGATACTCAGTCAATCCTTACCGTGTCAATGAACTCTATAACCCTACAATAATTTCTATGGGTTTTCAAATTGACCGATAGGCTTGTGGTATTGTTGCTTATGAAGGTTTCCCCTACGGAAGTAGTCCCCATGCATTGCTACCCATAGGTAATGATTTGCGTGTCCAGTGTCCACTCAGTGGGGTGACCGGAGTGGATCCCAAGCATTAATGTATGGTTTGTATATTAAATTACAGTAAATGGATCAAAGATATTAAAAAGGGTAGATAAAACAACCATTGTAATTTATATACTGTAAGCAATGAATTAATATTTCAAATAATAATCAAACGATGTGAATCCTTAATTTCATAAGTGATGTGCTTCGTATTTATATACAGTTTTATTTGTGTAATTGTTGCATATGCTATTTTTTTAATTAATTGTTCAATTGTTTATTTCAGAGTTCCCAATGCCCCCAAGAGCTGCATCGCAGAGATTTTCAATGCTGACTGCACGGATGGCGGCAGCCCCATCAAGAACGGCTCCAGCCGTCCGCGCGTGGTCAGGGACACCCCCACTCGTCCCAGAGACACACATTCTCGCCTTTTTGGACAGGTATACTAATTACTTTCTGTGCCTAAATAAAAGAGCTTCTAGCCTCCTATTCTCAACAGAACTACCTTACCGAGCGATGGTAGCTCCCTCACGGACTTACATACTGACATTTAGTTAAAATTTAAAAAAATGAATGACTCAAATGCATTGGTTAAAGAAGTAAATAAATTAATTATGTAAATACTTTTTAAATATTAGAATTTGAACTATCTGGAGCTTACTTGGCAATTACCTGCCCAATATACTTTAATGCCAATTTCTAACGAAACATTCTTGTCTTAATTAATTTTGAATTTTCAAATCAGATATGTTCCGTAAATAATTGTGCTATTGTCTATTTTCAGGCCGCAAACAACTCTCAATCGGCGCCAATGATCACAGATACCATTCGAAGCCACATTCAGTTTGGTAACAGCGAGATGAACGGAAGCCCCGCGCACTCGCCCAAGATGAACGGCAGCTCGCACTCCACGCCCAGCCGAGGTGAGATGGACCTCGCCGATCACTGTGAGTCGATCCGAATGTAGGCACGCCAGCACGTCACGCATCGCTATGCTGGGAACGAATGTGGAATAGAATACCTATATCACGTATATTGGGTGCTACTTCATATTTTTTTCTTCTTATCAATAATAAGTCAAAGAAATTTCCACAATGTACACCAAAACATCTTTATTCAATTAGTATTGACGTATAATGGAATTAGAATACTAAATATTATGTTAAAATCATATATTATCAGGTTTAGTGAAATCTTACAATGGCTACTTATTTAGAATCGTATATCTAAGTGCTGTAACATATCTTGTAGTTAGAATTGCAAGCATATTTTACCTTGTAATGTAAATAAACACCGACGAAAGCACGTGCTTTGTTGTATTCACAAGACACAGTGTATTTTAATATAAATTTCTAAAAGGAACGAATAGGTAGTTAAATATCTATATATTCTTTATAGAATAATATGTAAAACCTTGTATTGATAAATATTTTAAAATTGTAGGATTCCATTCCACCTTCGGACAATTCGAGGCGTACACAGCATGCACTAGGTTTTGCTTCTCGAATGTGATTTCTGTACACAGTCTAGGAATCTTGCGATACGGCTCACATTCTTGCAGCACGTTTATAACAACATAATAATATTATGTTAACAATTAACATTTTAACAATTTACCTATCATTAAAATTCATCTTTTAAAAAGTTCACATCACGTATAACAAATGATGACTTACAATAATAAAAATTGGCTTTGCTTTCAAAGTAGAATCACCAACGATTTTTTTGACTAAAATAAAATACAACGCTAACGTACCACAGATATTTTCATTAAAACACTTACGTACTTCTAAAACACAAGTACATAAAATTATGGCTCTAATTAAGATTGTAACTAAATAAGGTCAACGATTAAAAATTAGCAATTGGATATATTATACATATATTTTAATTCAAAGATATATTGCTAATTGAATCGTTGATTTTTGTTCGGGGTTCGAATGAAAACCGTTTGTTCTAAATGGTCAGTAACATACACGCCACCGAAGAGGAATCCTGTGACCGGGGACGGAGTGCCCCTGCCGCCACCGCGCCGCAGACATCCAGCCGCCAGCCTGCGAGGTGCTTCACCTAACACCTATCCACTTTGTGACCTAGATCCCCAACCTACCCATCGATATTACACGCGAGAATGGCCGCCAGTACCAGCTCATTATTACGTAGAATCTACTACCAAGCCAATACAAAACATTTGTCACACTCCTTATTCCTTATTAGGCTTACAAACTGATGATCCAGATAAAGTTCATCCTATAATAGATCCAAACTCTCTTTCTCCCCAATTAGTTGTCGACAGGCACTGGCCGCCTTTTCCAGCCCAACACTACTTAGAGCCACATGAATATAATATTCAGTATCATCCTTTGCCACCCCACGCCTTTGTTGGCATGACTTCTGCTTTGGGCGAACGTCCCCAGCCTGATTACAAGTATAATCCAGTGCCAACTTTGGATGGACCAATAGATCCATTTATAATTGCGAATTCCGATCCCCCTCCAACTTTGTTCAGATATGAACGTGACGGTCCGATTCCAGATGTATCATTGCTCCAAACATCTTCTGGCCCAGGCCCCAGTACTTTAACGGGTTTCCCTCCTATATTCCATAAATATGTTCCCGGATACCTCTTTAGACTCGACCAGCATGCTGAAGACTTCAATCATAAGACGTACTATGTAGACTATGTTCGCCGAAGAGAATTTGGTGGGTGCTTAATTTAGACAGTGAAGGCACTGTTTATTATGGTCAACTTAATGAAATGTGTTGTCCATCAATTTGCACTTTATCACCAATTTATAAATGTACAACGCTTTGTTTGTATTGAAAAAACGTTATGACGATTTCTTCAAGTTCTGTAATTAAGCACTCAACTTCATTATAATTTGCTTCCGTGAACCCAGAAAAATAGTTACTCAATTATATTGTAATCATAGTTTATAGGTACATATTTGTAGCTTAAATTATTGTCCTTTACTATTAATTTGTTGTGTTGTCATTGTTATAGGATTAGCTTTTTATTAAAAAAAAAATGTATTGCTATAGTGTAATATAGATGAATTCTGTTTAAATATTTTTATTACTCTTGCACGAAGATTATTTTTTATACTTAGTTCTATATAAAACGGTGTGACAATTACTTATTAGTATCAGTAGTAAATTACTAAGTTTTGTCAAAGTCATAATATTTAAATAAAATAAATAAATATTTTATAATATCAAAATTTATATTTTGTAATTGCAACACTAGTTTTCTTATTCTTTACTATCGTTTCTGTTGTAAGTTTCAAAGCTGATTTCTCAGTAGCTGCACTTATGTGTTGCGTGTTAGAAATAATTAATTGAAACTCGTATTTTTGTGTAGCTTTGATTATTTATAGCCTTTAAGAAATTAATTAATATTTATTTTTATTTAGGTACCTAATAGCAATTTGCATGTTTAGTCAGTTCCACATATAGAGTTTTCCTTAGCGTTATAATGATCTCATATGAAATCTTTTTAGAAATAACTTAATTTTATTACTTGGAAGTACTTCTATTATTAAATTTATATATTTAAAGCTGTTGTTCTAAATTTTCGCTTACCTATATGATAGCCAAAAATAAAATATTTTCGTACTTAATCAAGTCAATAAGCTTTTGTTTAGCGTTCGTCAAAACAAAGCTTTATTTGTTGACTATTGCACATAAACCGAGAATAATACATATTGTAAAATTTCAGAAGGCAACCCGATCACTGGCGACGGCTACAAATCTCTCAACGGTCAAATAAACACTGTGACGTCAATAAATGGCAACAGCAGCATTCTTCATAATCGCGTACCGCCTGGTGGATTCTCCTCTGGGCTCTGGTAGATGTAATTCGATCACGGCCAAAACTATATCGACTGCATTGCGAGCTCAACCTATCAATCTTGCTATTCTTATCATATATGTGAAATATATATATACTCTTTTTTGTTTTACATTAAGGAAGATATTTGCTTATTGTTTAATAATTTCCTTAACATATTTAGTTCTGAAAAAGACACTGTAGGATTATTATAGTAAGAATAGCATTATTAGCTGATTGGGTTTGTGGTGCAAAACGAAGCATTTATTTCATTGACGACATGACATCATTGTAATTGATTTAATCAACTAAATTTAAGTAGAATTTGAGATGTTAATAATAACTTGCACATGAAAACAGCGTCCACTAAATTTGAAAGGGTATTTGTTGTTCAATAAATCCTTAGCCTGTCCCAGTAACATTTTATTCAATAATAATTTTAGTATAGATTATAGATATTTTTGTAATAGTAACATTTCGATAGAGTAAAATCATTTTCGAGTGCTAACATTTAAATTTTTAATGTGGCAACATTTTCTGGCTCAAATATTTAAGCGTTAAACAGCTGATTCTCTGCTAAAAATTTAAATGTTTCCGCTGTATTAGGTATTCTACGTAAGTTCATAAAAGTAAAATTGTAATCTATCACTATATGCGCATGTTACGTAAAATTGAGAATTAGGAGTGAGGATACGTATCAGCAATATACCAAAATGAATAGTGCCTTGATTGGTTATAAACTGAAAATTCTTTAAGGATCAGTACGATTGGGAGACGGGATTTGTGTAATGGAAACAAGATATTGATTATATTGTCTATATTCCACGGTATAGAAATAGTAATCATGCGGCACTCGGGCTAATTATATATTAAATTAACTTATAATATTTGACACTATTTAAGGATTTCTCGTTTGTTGACTTTCATTATCGTAATTTAAAATAGAAGATATATAGAATGCATTTATTTTGTCTGTTTATACATTTTTTTAGTTTATTTTCTACTCGTTTAGATTTAAATGTAAATGGATTTGAATCTTGGTCGATTATCTGTTAACCAATGGACCATAGTACAGCGTAGATTGTTGGTCGAAACGACAATTATTCTATATATATTTCGTGTTTAACGATATATATAACGATAACATAATTTAGCATATCATGTTTGTAAAATTGTTTAATAATAATCCTAACAGTAAGTCGTCGACACTTGGCCTAACTTTAACAATACGTTAATAGATAATAACCACTATTTCAAAAATAAAGTTTTTTTTTAATTATTTAAAGTTGTTTTCTTTCGATGAATTGGATTTTATTTATTTTATTTATAGACACTACAAGCAGAACCCGCGGCTTCGCTCGCGCTAAAGCTACAAAAAACTCTAAAAAGGGAGGTTTCATACAAACATCCATCCCCTATTTTACCCCCTTATAGGATGAATTTTCAAAAATGCTACAACACGTATTTATTTAATTGTATTGAAGAGCATTAATATCAATTTTCAAGTAATTCTGATCACACTTGATATTATTTGTAATCCCTTTTTTCCTGTGGTAATAAGTATGTCTATACTTATATAGCCTAGTAATACTACCTAAAAAGGATAGTGAAGAGATTATATATTTCTTGGTTCGTTAATTGTTTATTTAAACACGATAATTTCTAAAACTAGTAATCCGATTTAAAAAAAATGTTTTTGCATTTCGTAGCCTATTTATTGACAATGGTTTTGACTTATAGGCTATATACGTATATATACATACATATTTTAGGGTGTGCCAAAAAATGACGATATTTTTTTTCTTCGCTCTCATCCCAAAATATCTCAGAAAATGTCCCAACAAAGCTCCTGTTAAAAGCTGAGCTTAAAATTCCAATTCTAAGAGGTTCTCCATCGAACTTTAAGTTTTCCCATACAAATTGTATGGAAAATATGATTTTTAAGACTTTTTTGTCCTGCAAACTGTGACGAAAATATTTTTCAAAAAAAAATGAATGAATGGGCCGTTTTTAGTATTAAATTTACTACAAAAAGTTCCATTGAGTTGAATTTTTATCTTCAATATTTGATTTGTTATATGGCTTTGAAGTTCAAATTTTCGGTTTTTTGCATTTTTAGCTAAACTGTAAGAGTTAGAGAAAAATGTTAAATAGCAAATTTGTAGTACGTTTAAAATCCTATAAAAAAGTATTTGTCAACTTTTTCATATCATCAATAACAACAAAGTTTTAATGTTTTATGTTTCATGTCCTTTATTAATGTATTTTATAATATAGTTGAAAAATCATAAAATATGACTAAATAAGTCTGTAACTCTATTAACTATTGATAATACAAGATATCTGAGCCTTCCAATTTTGTTGCAAATTTTATGTAATTGCATTTGCACCCATTTTTTTGTTTAATTATTATCGATATTTCAGTTCGTAAAAGCAAAAATTAAAAAAAAAAATATACGTGAGCCTGTAACTTTGTATATATATATATATATATATATATATATATATATATATATTGTCGATCGCTATGATTGACAATTGATGAATTGATTGATTTCACAGATATGAGATATTTTCAGGCAGTAAAAAGGATCCTGTATGTTGACCCGGATAACCAGCTATCATCATACCAAATTTTATCAAAATCCCTCCAGTGGTTTTTCCGTGATGCGGTAACAGACAGACAGACAGACAGTCAGACAAAAATTCTAAAAACAATAGATTCGGCCTCTGCATCGATAATAATACATACCTATTTCAATAAGATTTTCCAAAAAATATTTAATGTACAGATTCGGCTTAGTTACAATTTTACTATAGGTATATATAGATAATATATAGATTAAAAAATTAAGTTATTTACTTAAACTTTGATTTTAGAAGGTGATTTGATTAGACTTTTTAAATCTCTTTAGAAAATTTCAATTGAATTTGTAAACATCTTGATATATTTATTTATAGCGTGTAAAGATATAAATAAAACAATGATACAGTTCACACATAGTTTATTATTATTAAATAAAATACACGCATTCCGCTGGTATACATACATTACATTTAAGGTAACATTAATTTTAAGTTTGTTGAAAGACAGATGAGTCAAAAGTTAGTTTATAATTGTCCATAGTGTTAATATATAAATTATTGATAAAAATAGAGACATTTATATAGTATAGAATAACATTTTAAAACCACCTTGTGATCCGGTCTACACATATATCTACTTGATAAATAATTAGTGCCTTTTTGCATAGCAATAGTAACACAGATCTAAAAATATTCGCAAAATATTATCACATCAAGCATTTCTTAATCCTAAGTAATTTTTCTTGCAGTATGTTCTATAAACGAATCTATATTTTGAAAGTTAAATTCTTTCTTATCTTGCCATAAATAATTGTATTCTTAGTTAATAAACTGTATAAGAAATATATCAAAACAAAAATAGTACAAAAATTTTAATAGACACAGTAAAATTAGACCATCGCTCGCTGCGCTTATGTTAAAATATATGTGAAATACAACTTTTAAAAGAAAAAAAGAGCAATTACATTCTTCCTCTTTTCGGTAAAGAAATTTCATTCCAGGCGCATGGAATTATGCATTTATGAGCCTTATTTCGCCAGCGTCGGTGATACCAGCAAAAATCTTGTTCAGGTCGGTACGGTCGAGAACGGGACCTGTTAGATGACCTATTTTCATTTTGATTTTGCAAAACTCTGACTGTTAGGACTGACACTTGACGCATAAGTGCGTCCACACGACGAGATAAATCCTCTATTTCAGGATCTGTCCTATCAGATGAATCAGATGCTGTAGACGGCGACGGAGCTGGCCTCGCAGAATCATTTTGTGTTGTAGCATCCAAAATTCTATCTGCCATAGACGCTAGCTTCTCCAGTGGTAGATCTGTGTGCCCAGCGAAAATACTTTGAACGTTCGATGGTAAACGTCGGATAAACATCTGTCTTAATATAGCCTCGTTTTGAAGCGAGTGGCCAGTAACGCCTCTCAGATGGTCCAAATACTGTGTTGGCTTTCGGTTGCCTAGTTCTTCTTTACTCAATAGCTGCCGAATCCTTCTGCGAATTAATTCTGACTTAAGATAGAAATATTTATCCTCATTAGGAGGATTTGTGATGATGTCCTCCACTTCCGCCGCAAATTTCTCGGGTAGTTGACTAACAACGTAGCCATACATTGCATTGTCTTTTGTAATGCCAGCAGTTTCGAAGATAGCCTCTGCTTGAGAAAACCATAGTGCTGGACGTTCGGGCCAAAAAGGTGGGAGTATAGTTACTTTAAAAATATTACTTGGTGTAATATTATCAATATTAACTACATCAGATTCCAAAGTAGCCATCCTAAAAGTTGCGGTTTTGAGTGCAGAAAATTGATTACCAGTTTTACCTGTTACCGATGTTTACCTTTGAATAAGTAAATGAAGAAAGTATACTCAACACCAAGATGAATATATATTTGAACACACCACTCACTCTGGACCTAAGTAATAAGTTAGTTTAGTAATAAAGTCTTCCACAATAAATATTCCCAATTATAAGAAATGTTGACACCAATCTTGAACCGCCTGCAGCCGAAAATCGAGATGAGTGAAACAAAAAAGACAGCAGGTGTTGGCCGGGTGCATCAATAATGTGTTTAAGCGATTATTGATTTTGCATTATATGCAAGATGGAAATGAGATGAGATGCAATGTTTATATTAGGCATTTCCTGGTTTTATATTCATTTTAAAGGAAAATGAACCAATGATATTTAAAAGAATCACCTAAATCAGCACAATAAAAAAAATACTAAATAATATTTTTATTAATTTTCTATAGACGCAGGTAATGAGTGCGTTCAAAGCGACCTTTAGTGCTAGGACTGATGCTGTATTCCCTCATCCCAGTCTAGGCATCGCTAGGACATATAGGATTCGAAAACTCGCTCCTACAAATAGTGTTGCTACAAATGGAACGCGTTCGGATTCTTGTATGAACTATTTTAATTAATAAATAATAATCATTATTTGACAGGTATAATAGTACAATCTCTTCAATTCATGAAGATATATACTATTCTTTATTGCACTTTAAAAAAAATCAATACAGTAATTTAAAATCAGTTGTTATTTACAAAGGTGGACTTATCTCTAGAAGAGATCTCTTCCAGCCAACCTGTGGTAGTGAGAAATAGTGTTACAAATCTATGTAAAAGAATTATAATTATTTAATAAAAAATATTCTTCAAAATCTAATAAATTGATGAAACTTATACTTAAATTGAGTCATGGTTCTTTTAAACTAGATTTTGCTCGCATAGTTTATTTATGTCCAGTAAAGTGTTGAAGCGTGGTGATAGGCCTTTCTCTATTAACTTTCGTACTTATAGACCGATAAATACGAAAGCTTGCGTGTAGATGTTTATTGCTCTTTATATAATACTAGCAGTACCCGCGGCTTCGCCCGCGTCCAACTTCCGATCGCTAACAAAATTCACAGAATCACCCGGTGGGCTAATCTGAAGATTACCTGAAAATTTCATCAAAATCGCTCCAGCTGTTTTGGAGTCTATAGGAAACATACATACACACGTCGATTTTTATTTTATTTAATCAACCATTTAAATTTATTTATCGCTCGGAAAATGGAGTCATTTATGAAAATTTAGTCCATGGTAAGCTACGAGGCTTGTGTTATGGATACCAGATAGTTGATACACTACATATATATAACTTTAAATACATACATATTATAAATATAAACACCCATGACTAGAGTACACACATTCATGCCCATCACACAAATGAATGCCCCCAGCGGGACTCGAACCCGCGACCGCTGGCACAGCAAGTAGGGTCACTACAAACTGAGCCAAACGTCAAACATAAAAATATACACACAAAATTTAATCCAAATCGATCTAGTCCTTTAGGAGTAGGTTAACAAACACACATACAGAAGAACGCAAACAGAAGATACGCAAGGGAACTCCCGAACGAAGCAAGAAAAAGTCTCTAGTTAGTAGTTGGCTATATAACGTAAAAATTTCATCTAAATCGGTTCAGCGGATTTTTAGTGTATCCATTACAAGCAAACATACAAAAAAATTCTCTTTATAATATTAGTATAGATACTAATCTACTAATCTATTCTTTACAAATTGAAATACAGTACTGACTAACAATGAGCACCTCTAGTTCTTTATCAACTATAAATCCATTCAATTGCCATTTTTTGCCACATTCATTGATTTCAAATTTAACTGTTTTTAGGAGATTTTTTTATATTTATATAACAAAAATTTTGATTAAAACTCTCTTACATATTTTTTTATTCTTTAAGTGTTATCTTTGTAAACAAAAATTAAAACACAAGTCCTTCACCTAAACTTACTGGTATTTTCATTATTAAAGGTACATAGGGCTCAACTTCCTTTAAAGATTTAATCAGCAATTGGGCAGAAAAATACTATGAATCAACACTATGTTTTTGCTGACAAAATTAATATTAATATTTGTAAAATATTATTTTTATGCTAATTCCAACTTAGTCGTTTTAATATCCAACAAAATTTGTCTTTACAATTTATGTTCCTAAGATTGCATATTTATTCAATGCCAAATTCAAGAATTTATTTTGCCTTAATTACAAAAACAGAACAAGACATAAGATATAATAAAATATATTTCAACATTTGAACTAGTATTAAATCTAAAAAATATACATCAAATTATTCTTTAATATCATTTATTTTACTCTCTGAGTTATCTGTAGCTTCATTTGTTTTGCAGGAATTAGATTGGATTTTTTTGTTCCCTTTTTCATTTGAATTTTGTGATGATATTTCCAACTCTAATGTGACAGGTCCATCATTTTGTAATGCAACTTGCATACATGCACCAAATACACCATCTGAAAAATATTAAAACATATATATCTATAGTATAGATAATTATTCATATTAATTTCACATGAATGCAGATCTTGTACAATATAAGTTATGTATTAAATATTTCAGCCATTAATATTGTTTTATTACCTTTTATTTTCTCTGGTTTATATATTTGTTTTAATCTTTCAATTAGTTTGTCGTAGAATTCCTTAGCTTTTTCTGCAGGCATGGCATTATGGAAATCAGGTTTGTTACCCTGCATTAGAAAAAAAATTCAAAACTTTAAATATTAAAGTTTAAAAAAACTATTTCTAAATTTATAACCTTTCAAAAGTTTTATTAGAAAAATATTATTTATAATAATTAAAAAAGAACTTGTTACCACTAATTACTCCCTCAAAATAGATGTTTTCCATACCTTCCATGTATTGTATAATGTGAACTGGCTCACACATAAAAGTTCAAAATCGTTGTCCACAATACTTTTGTTCCACTTCTTATCATTTCCATTGTCAAACAGTTTAATACTTAATATTTTGCGAGCACTAGAAATTCAACAAACCAATTGTTTTCATAATAATAATAAACAATACAATATAATGCATATTTTAATCATGGCATATTCATGACAAAAAATTAAGCAAAAATATTTTAGTTAAAAAGTCTTAACTTACAATTTTTCCATATCTTTTTCATTATCATTATTACAAATTCCTATAAAAACGCATGCTCCCTGTCCAATACTGCTTATTACTTCGCCGTTAACTAAAATCATATAATATACCTAATAAGCGAATAAATCCTCAAAAATCCCTAATAATAAAAATATTCCATTAATTTGTTATTCATGATTCCATTTACCAGTAACTTTTGCGTTCATAACACGCTGTATAACAGCTTTCATTATGTATACTTATTGTAAGTGTATTATAATAAATTAAAAATGTTTCAAATATATATACATTACAATAATTTAATATCGTATTAGGTTATCTTGAACTTAAACAATGCTTGCGAATTATGGATGACAAATAAAATTATAACAGACCTAACCTAACCATACACGAAAATGAAATATGAAATTGACAATAATTGACATTTGACACTTGACAAATCATCAAATGACAGAAAGTAAGTAGTGCCACTGACAGAATACTATAGAGTATGTAACTCTTTTTACAGAATACTACATACAGGCTGCTGACGATAGAATTTCGTTCGGCATTGGATGGGATTCTTTGTTAGAATTCATTGTTTACAACCCTATACGTGTTCTTCACGTCATTCTGTTAGCTGTTAATGTCTAAACTCTATTTACACGCATTAACATTAAAAAGACTTTATTATATTCTCAGAAGAGCTAAATAAATATAAAGAAAAGGCGATGTTTATTGCACAAAAATTTTCATAAGTATATAGAAATTATTTTCATAAGTATATAGAAATTATTTGTCGGTGATTTCCGTTTGACGCCATTGAATTGAATTGAATTGCCGATAGTAATATGCTCATAGCTACTAGGAATTCAATTGCTACCAGCGCCTTATAATGTTATAATATTTTGTAAGATTTTCCTTAAATCCATTTTGAGTAACGATGGCTGTCAATATCATTTAGTTGAAAACGTTTACCTATATTTTAACTTGAGTGTATCCCAATTTTACAAATACTACTGCGTTTACGGTTATGTGGAGACTCACCGCCAAGAAAAGCCAAGCTACTACGCGCTAAATCCCAAAGGAACCATTTAAGTTTTAATGGGGTGTCGAAGAATCTCTTATTATATTAATAAATCAAATTGAGGATACACATATAAATATTATCTATTATGTACATACGTATACCTAATACGTATGATATATCAATATTTAATGAATCCTTTTATTTTTCGAATGGCGCTGGATCACAGAGAGTTATAATATTTCTGTGTATTGAAAAACAATTGATTTCAAATTTTGTATAATGTATTAAGTTTAACCGTTTATTTTATACTTATACTTCCACAAATAATGCATGTGAATGGAACTACTTGGTATATTAAAAGTGTATAGAAAAAAAATACGACTTTTCTATTTTTAGTTTACGTTTATCAAGCATATTAAAATAGAAAAATATTTTCCTGAGACCAAATTAATGTTGTAGGTAAGAAGGGCTGTTCGGCTAAAGGTCGTTACACGTTTTCCTTTTTTTTGTAATTTTTTCGGTTATTTCGTAGCAGAGTCAATGACTTGAAGAAGGCAGTGGTAGGTCAGTGATGAGCCTTGCTTGGGTAACCGAGTGAAGCGGGTTCAAATCCCGAGTCTCGCACCTCTGATATTTTTTTGTGCGAATCATTTTCAACATGATTACGACTTGTCTTACGGTGAAGGAAAACATAGTGAGAAAACCTGCATGTCTGAGAGAACCTAATAAGTTTTCGAAAGACATGTGAAGTCCGCCAATCCACACTTGGCCAGCGTGGTGGACTATGGCCTGACCCTCCCTCATATTGAAGGGAGATACTGATTGTATTATAATCTACTTACGCTAGATGGCGCCGGCGGGCTAATTTGAGACTAGTAAGCTACTGAATACAACAGATGCAACCAGCAATATACAAATGTGTGAGTGTGTATATTCTTTGATTTCTGGACAAAACCAAAGCGGATCTCTAATATTTAATATATTGCAAAATTATATTTCATAAAATATAAATTTTTTCTATGATGATAACACACTCATTATGATTTATTTTTAGATATTTTGATACAAAATTATCATTCATTCGTGTTACGTCTTGAGCCCGAGTAAGGATCTATGGGTCTAAGTGCCGCCTTTTATTATTATAGAATATTCAAAGAATCATTCCGACTTCAGACACATGGTTCCATTATTATAAAAGGTAATGAGATAAGATGTAAAATAAAAAATATTTATCATTCAGACTAGTTTATTTTAAAACAACAATTAAAAGGTTTACCCACATTAATTTATAAGAAACTGAATATTTATAAGCGTAAGTAGTCTTAAGCTTATCTTAAAATTACACGAGGAGTGTTGTGCATAATAACAATATTAATACTTGACAAACCACTAAATTATAATTTTAAATATCCTTGTACTAACAATACAGTACTAAGTCGCTAAAAAGCAATGTTTAGTGTTTACACTTGTGACTTTCCTAGTGCGTCAGCGGCGTTTACATGTTTACCATCTATAATATACATACATAAGTATTAGGTATGTATTTTAAAACATTATATCTGTTATTCATAGATGAAAGAACAAGAAACAAATTTCAGCAAAACAAAAATGCACGAGTGTAAACGAAACTCAAACGTCTTTTACCAAAGCAAGTATTAATTTATTATACAATAAAAGCCTAAAAATTAAGCTTCTAAAGATGGAAACTGACAGTAAGAAATTGCCTTATTATTAGATACAATCAGTACAGGACAGAACTGGTATACATGTCACTTAGAATTTAATTTTATTAATTTAACTCAAATTCGTTGCCTAAAGTACTCAAAATGAACACGGTGGTTAATCTGTGTGTGCACTATAGATAACTAATCACTATTAAATGCCGTCTTAGTAATATTACATTATATATTTAATTACATATATACTTAACTAAAAAGATTCCTTCTTGCAATAAAATAATACATCTATGAATTCATTATTTTTCTTTTAAAACTAGGAGTATTTTAAAGCTTCTTCAGCTTTTTAATTATATACCTAATATAAATTTTGATTACGTTCAATAGATGATTTGTAGAATAAAGCTTAAATGATATAAACTAATAATAATTTACACTAAGTAATAAGTATAGGTTTTTAAAGATTTTTACACTGAAATATACTTTTATATAAATTATTATATAATTTATTTATTAAAGTATTATTGGTTGGTAAAGTAAGTATTAAATAAGTTCATTAAGAAAATTGGACGAAATTCTAGAGTGGAAAATACTAAACTCGTTACGTATTTATAAATATCATCTACTTATGTGTTTATCTAATTAAGTAACCGTAATTGTTAACTCAATTTTCCGAGATGTTATTTCTCTCCAAAGATATAATAAATAACATACGGATATAAGTCTAGATACATCAACAGCCTCTTTAATAACAACCTCAAGGATTTACAACAAGAAGCTTCTTATATTAGCCACAACTTTTCCAAATAAGACACTGCATTTAAATATTATTGCTAGAAGGTAAAACAAACTATTTACCAATTACCTTCATCAATAAGTACTTAAATAAAATAAAAATCACAATAAACATATCATAATAAAAATTACTAATGAAAATCACTCAATCTTTCAATCGTAATCTTTTAAATGTTAAGTTTTTAGGATTTAGGTTCTACTTTTAGAGGTTTATTTCGAGCTTCATCTGATGGTACTAAGGTGATGAGGCCGGCGCCATATAGACGTACATGTTCTAAGTATCGCCTTCTATTTTCTGGGTTACTCATGACTGCAGCTACGAATTCAGATGTTTCTCTTTGTAGAGCAATGATTTTCTGCTGAATTAGCCTGTTCTTTTGCATTAGAGCAATGGTTTTCAATGCTAATTCAAGTATGACCCTGTTTTGGGCAGTTTTATCCACAGTAGGTTGTTGTGGGGGAGGTGCAGTGGCCTCTTCAACTGGTGGAGGAGTTGCGAGCCAATTTAGTCTTTGTAAACGCCTTGCCTCACGCAGACGGGCTACTTGAGAACCTGTAACAATAAAAAAAGTATTTTAATTATTACGGCTTTTATTAAGGTAATTTTAAATAAAATAATACAAACAAGCTTTACTTGTAAATTTGCCCCCTCTTTATTTACTATATTTCATACATTCTATATTACGTATAAGTACGGAAAGCTAAAAATTAAACTAAATTATAGTCACACGAGTAACATATTATGTAAACCATAAGTATGAAATATAATATGAAGACAATGTATTAATCTTAATATATTCATCTTACTAAAAGTCTAGATTATGCTACAGATCACATGTTAGTTTACTATTTCAAATGATCCTAAATGATAATGCAATCGTCACGTTACTTGCGCATACGCTCAAAAACCGCACGTCAACAAAAACAACGTGTTTAAGACACGTGCACGACAGGAATTTTTACGTCATAAATGCTATACATAGTTACTATATGTGACCATAGAACAGAGATTTTGATGTGTGATTAAAGTATAATTGTAATTTTGAATAAATTTAATTTTATCATAGTTTAAATTTTTAGTAAGTAAATATTTTAAGTACGTTTTTATTTATATATATTTGATTTAATTAAGTTATATATAAATGTTTTGTAGGTAGATGAATAAATCAGCTTTTATGAGGGCTTAGTGGTTTTACGTTCAGACGTCATTAATTTTTGACATCATTTAAGTTTTAAATAATTGAATTTACTTGTGTTAAACTATTTTTATCGTTTAAAATTATTCAAAATTGACGTAATCGTAAATAATCGAATATTATAGGAAATTAATTAAATAAATATGCTCTTTTAGACTGGTAGTTTTGTATCCACTTAATATTTTAAAAAAACCATCGCTAGATCGATAGCTCCTAACGACACAAGTAGGAAGCGGGTGTAGAGTTGTAATGGTAATGTGGTGCTATTTACGTTTGTGGTATAAGTTGAGTTATCTACGCGAATTTCATCTAGACTAATATTATAAATAGGTAAAGTTTGTGAGTTTGTGAATTGTGAGTTTGTGACGTTGTAGAGGGTAATTTCTGGACCTATTGAACCGATTTAGATGAAATTTGGTAAGAAGTTTGAGACCCTGGGAAGGACATTGGATACTTTTTATCCCGGAAATCCTCCCTTAAGGGGCTGAAAATGGGTATGAAAGTTTGTATTGGGAATCAAGCTAGAAACGAACCTGACCGAAGCAAAGGTGAGTCGCTAGTTCAGAATAATAATTATATTAAACAGTCGATAAAAGTAACTTAACAGGTGAATTTTCAATTTACTGAATGAATAAAAAAAATGTCGGAAAATCCGATTTTAATACAATTGATATTTACAAAAATAAAAATAACTAAAATAGTAGAGGATTAATAATAATTTATAGCCATAGCCAAAGAATAACGTGATATAATAAATAAGAAACGTGATCTCGCTAGCATATCGTATTTATTATAATCGTAAATTCATAAACATCAGCATCAGTTATTTAAAATTTGACAGCATATTGCTAATTTGTTGAACAAAATGGAAAGTTTCTTCTTACAAAGTTTTATATAGATACTATAAATAGAAATAAGTTATAAAAATACTTAGTAGTTTTAAATATTTTTTTTTTGGATTATTTTGATTTGTGGTTTCCGACGATACGCATGATCATTCATTTTGTATAATATACAAGTTAATCATTGTACGTCTAAATACCTACATAATTGACTCAAGATTCAACTTCATACTCGTAGTAGAATGTAATAGAATGAAAGTAATTACTAATCCTAGTATAATATAAAAATGGCAAACGATGTCTGAATGAACTATGGTCAATGAACTAACGCACATATGTATAATATACGGTAGATTGAAAAGGCGAATGAATAATATGATAATTTTACATGTATTAGGTAATTTTATTTAGTTTTATTTGTCGTAGGTATTTTTTAAGCTTAACAAGAGCAGCCAATATTTTATACATACATTCTTTTTTTTTTACAGATGAATTTAATAATTAAAGACAAAGGTATTATTATTTAATTTAGGTAAATTAAATACTTTAAACGTTGTCAATAAAACATAATTCATTTGCAAAATATGCAACTTTTGTAGATCAAGATTTGCAAAGATTTCGATGATGTCATAAATAAAAAATACGATAAAGTATAAAATCGACTGCTCCCTGAAGTTACTTAAAAATGTAGGTAACAGGAGTTATGAAATATTGCATAAACACTGCAGCAGACTTAACATTCTCACGGAAAGAGAGGTGCTTATTGTTGCTGCAATTACATTTACAATAATTTATATCGTTATTTTTCTATCAAATGTATTGAGTACGGGTTCTTTTGACAAAAAAAAATTTGTAGAGCTTTACAATTATAAATTTAAAATCTTATCTTATAGATATTATAATAAATATGTATTTTATTATATATTAACATTTAAAAATATGTAAATGTTTATTCCCAATATTATTTATTTTTATTTAGTGTGATATTTTAAATATAAATTATTTGTACTTCCATTATATTTTTATACAACATTTAGTTTAGTATAATAAAGAAAATAAATAAATTAAACCCTAGTACAAAATCACAATTAAATATAATACGGTAGTCATAGTGATAATTATAGTTAAAATTTTAAGAGCTCTATTGGAGAGCTCTATGTAGAGAAAATCTATAGTCACCGTGAAAATTTCATTGCAATATGATGTAGCACGTAGTACACAGATTATTATCTAATTGCTCTAGTGAGATAGGTCAGTGCCGAGTTGCTAGGGCTGTTTTCATTTATTCCTAAGTTTAAGAAGATAGATAAAAAATAACTGACCTTTTTTAATTTTCCTTATCCTCTTTTCACACATTTTTATTTGCTTATACACAGCTGGTATTATCACAAAAAAATAAATAAATTTGTATATCGAACGCGTAGGACTGGTACGTGTGTACCACTCGAGCTCCGGATACGAAGTTAGCTTGGTTTGAAAATCGAAGGCCCGGGTGGCCGGTCTCGACGCGTAGCGCCACAGAGCGAGATGGAAAGTTGTATTGTCATGCGAAAATTGTAATTTCCACGTAATTTTGTGTTTATTTGTATGGTTGTTGTGTTTTTGGAATGTTTATATTAATTTCATACCAATTATATTTTATTATCTTAAGTCCCAAAAATAGAATAATAAATACTTCTGAGTTAAGTTTTATAAAATCAATGAACAAGACAAGTTCGTTGAGGTGCCTAAATTTTTTTTTACTTCTTTAGAAGCTTTATCTTATAAATATAATACATTAATTGTCTTATAAAATGTTTATATTATGTTAAAAGTAAGTCGTTAAATCAGTATTTAAAAATGTAAAAAAAGTAGGTTGGCTGAACTCTATAATGTAGAGTGTAGACTGTACCTTGGTTGCCTTTGCCAAACAATTAATATTTTGATTCTTTAATTATTTTAACCGTTTGACGTTCTGTAACTAATATGTACGTCTCTACGCCATTATTTATACTTGTGCTCTATCTTCCTTACACAGCGGTGAGTACTTATTTTACATGAAGGCTTTATTTCGTTACTAGACTTTGTTGAGTTATATGTGTTTTCTTAATTTCTTCACGTTCTAATACCTCAACTAATTTGAGTGGATTTCAGAATGGAAATAGCTTACATTATAGCATAAATCATAATCTACTATGTCTTGATGTATTTATGAATATTTAAGTAGTGTAAAGTACTTGCAAAATTTTTCTAGCACCTCATTTAAGAAACTAAATATATTTAAAACGACACATACGTCAAAATTACGATTTTTTTAAGTTTCCACTATTTTTATGTATTATGCAAACGTGTTAGTTACCTTAGATATAATTTACCTTTAAAACTATAAACTATATTATAAGTATTCTATAAATTAATAAACAATTAAGCGCTTAAACAAATAATGTTTCTCTGTCTGTAATCTTAATATTATAATATTCTACTACTTTAACTAGTAATATAACAAAGTAATATTTACCCATTCATAAGGGTAACTTCCCCGCTAAATGGTAACACCGTAGGCGTGATGTCTGCAAAACGCATGGTTCAACACGTGTAGACGAATTACCAGAGACCGCTATCTAATCGACAAAGAGCTACGATTATTGGATATGATACGTTTACACTTTATAGTAAAAATAATTTTATTTGTTATATTAGTTATAATTTAATATAAATATTATTTAAATTATGGGGTAGGTATATATAAAATATAAGTACTTGTATTTCATCGTAAAAAATGAAAGACTTTCCCATGGAATAATCAGATAAAAAATATCTTTTGTTAGAGTTACTGTTACGCACATATCACAGGTCAAGAAAATGAAGAATAATTGCCTAATAATTTTACAAGAACAAAAAAGCCTTTAAAAAGCCTTTAATTTTAATTATGGTGACTTTATTAAAATGTTTACTCAATTTTTTATAATACTCCATCACCTTTTAAAATGGGCAACATCACCTTTTAAAATATTCGTACTTATATTGTAAGTATATCAATACTCTCAATAATCCAGCTTGGGTAAGAAAAACAAAACATAAATTAGATTAATAAAGAGACACTAGTATTGAGTAAAATAAAAAAGTATGATGATTAATTATATTATATCCACTTCACATGTTCGTAGCTCGATGTAAATGCACGTTATGACGGCAGACAAAACAACGCGACTTATGAGTCATCATGCGCTCCATAATATGAGCAGCCAGCATACCACGCCTTTATACATCATAGGAATTGAGAATGGGAAGTATCTTGTAGATAACTAAAATATTTCTTATATTTTAATAATAAAAATCTATCTAAACGTTAAGAAATACTATAAAAAATTGATTTAAAAAAAATTATGGATAGTTATAAACCAACTCTTGCGCAAGCTAAATTTTTCAATTAAGAAAATAAAGTATAATTTTCAAATATAACTTTAATTGAGCCAAAACACATAATTTTGGAATTAAAATATTTGGTATATTATATTTATGTAAGTGTTCTTGTGAAAAGTAAAGGTAGAGCAAAATATCGATGTTGAAAGTAAAATTTGGCGCCTTTTACCACTTTCTACCATGTAAGTGTCCATATATATTCGTTAAATTTTAAAAAGTGACGATTAACAAGAAATGAAATGTCATCAAAAAACTAGAGTTTTATTTATACAAAATTTATTTTTCGTTAAATTATTATAATATTATATAATAAATGCAAAATCCAAGTTAAAATACTATTTGCTGTCAGCATTTCAACAATTTTCTACAATATTTTTTATTCAAATATGTAGATTGTAATATAAAATGGATGTGTAAATTTCCACATTGCGTTCCACGTGGTGATACACGTTCAACGAGCCAACAACGTGCTTGGTAGGTATTTTGCTGTTCTGCCTTTACGTTACATTAGAATGGAAAATGAGTAGCTACAATACATATTTATTTGTTATATTTATTGTTATGACAGAGCGTCGATACGTATTACTAAAGGAATCAAGATTACGTATGTAATGACTTCTGCTTATTGTCTACTTCGTCATCGCATACGTAAATATAGGCTTTGTTTATGACATACTAGCAGAACCCGCGGCTTCGCTCGCGCTAAAACTACAAAAAAACTCTAAAAAGGTAGGCTTCATACAAACTTTCATCCCCTATTTTACCCCTTTATGGGTTGAATTTTGAAAAATGCTAAAACACATATTTATTTAATTGTACTGAAAAGCATTAATACCAAGTATCAAATAATTCTGATCATAAATATTTTTTTCGGTTGTATTATAACGTGTTTTCCCGTGGGAAGCAGATGATCTCCCGCGGTAAAAAGTAGCCCATATCACTCTCCAGCCCTCCAACTATCTTCACACAAAAAATCACGCCAATTCATCATTCCGTTTTCACGTAAAAGAAGAACAAACAAACAAACAAACAAACAAACAAACACACTTTCACATTTATAATATTAGTACGGATTTTAAAATAGTGATTACTATTTGTTAATTTACGAGTACATTTCATGTACATACATAATATGTGAAAAGGAGCTTAATAGTCTCCAGCATATTGTACTAATATAATTTTAAGTTCAAAAAAGTTCTTTAATGATCAAATTCCTACAGTACCTAAAAGTCAATTAATAATAAATATAGTTATTTTCATTGAATTTCAATATCAAAATGTAATAAAAACTTATTAGTATATCGATAAAAATAGCTTTATTCTTTAAATTTGCGGACTTTATTGATTTTATTCACCTACTCATTCTATAAATATAAAGGGTGAATATTGGCAGGGATGCACCTCCCAGAGTATCTATATATGACACACACACACACACACACACACACACATATATATATATATATATATATATATATATATATATATATATATTATTATATAGAAATTAGTTAAATTACATGAATAATAATATGAAATCGTTATTTACTGTGTATATAACAACACAAAAGATATATTGAAAATATAAGAACGGTAATTAATTAAATTATTATATGACTGCGGCTTAATTAATTATAATCATTCACGACAGCGAGAATTTTTGCATAAAGGCCAAAGGCTATAGAGTATTTATAACCAATTCATTAGCAACGTGACTATCGATTGCAAGCAAATATGTTCCAAAAAAATGTGTACGAGTATATAACTAAAAAAACTTAAGAAATTTCATATTGTATCGTTATTTTACTTTTAAGTTACCAAACACGTATGAGGTTCTTTATCTAAACAAGGTGCTTGAATAGAATATTTAACACGTTTTGTGATTTCTATAAGACAATACACTTTTTCCAAGATCTACACTCATAGAGTAACTAATTGGGTCTATCATATAACCATGTATGATTAAAAATTGATCAATATGTTTTTATGTAGACACTTATAGAAAAATTATACATTTTATTTTAATCATAATATTTTTTTCTCTCGTATTACAAAAAAGTAGAGAGCAACGAAACCTAAGAATTTAAACGAGTCGTCATCTAATCATTGCAAGCATTAAAACGTAATGCATCGCCAGCAACGTCATTTATTATAGCAAATAAGAGCCATTATCTTAAATTATAATCACAGTGAAGCGTGTCTCATTGGTGTATTGTTGGTACGTCCTTGACTGAAAGCGCATGTAAGCCAACGTGCTTGCTACGTGCGATGACCTGCACCAACCTCGTGTTGATACACGCCCGTTCATCTACGTCTTATCGGATCAAACGGCATAGGTATTTTAAGGTATCGATGATAAGTGTATGAAAATATATGAGTGTAAGCTCACTTAGTATTTAAATTGCGGTTAATGCTTGATATTTTTACCATTGATGCCATTTTAAGTATAATAATTTGTTTGTATTATGTACGTGAAAATAAATTATATATTAGTATAAGATAGATAACGCGTGACAAAAGATTAAAGTTTGTGCGGAAAAGATAGCTTTCTATTTATCTTTAATTTAAAATTGAAAACGTAATAAAACATTATTGATAACAATCTGGCTTTTTGAAGGAGTGGTCCTTATATTCATATCTTTATTCATCATTTTTATATTTATATCTTTATTTACATTTATATATTTTACCTTATATTTATATCTTTATTATCATTTATATACCTTATATTTGTATCTTATGGATACACCTGGGTGTATCCATGCAGTTGTAGAAAATGTAGAGACACCTTGCTCTACAAATTTTTCTAGTATTTTTCTGTTTTAAATGTTAGTAAAATAAATGATTAATTATCTTTTACTCTTAGAAAGGAGAAGAGGTAATGAACATTTCCTAGCAGTAGCTTCATCTAGAATACTATACAGAAACGGGTAATATATTTCTTTTTAAATAAA